ATCAGCACGTTACTATGTAGATGCCAACAAGTCTCTTTGTGTATCCAGTTTTTTGCAATTGTCACACCATAAATGATCCTTCTTTTTTTGGGTGTTATGGATTGGGTTCCTGTGCAGTCATGGCTGAGTTCTTAAGATTTTTAGAAGAAGTTTAGGGTCCTAACATCACCTTTGTCTGCTTTCTTGCCTATCAATTTTGGAAAAAACTTTCCTAACATTAAATAATGGCTTAATACTTAGAACTTTTCCACATAGCTCATCGACAATACCTCTGTGCTTGTGCCTATCATGAAAGGGTTAGTTGTGACTTCTCCGTTTTGAAAATATTTGGAAGAGCCTGAGAGTCACCATTGTGACATCAGCTAACCTAATTAATTAGGTGATTGGGCTCGGGCCCAATCATCATATTAATCAATCGTTATCTTATTGATTAATCGCTATTGTAACAACATATATGCTAACCTAATTAATAAGGTGATTGGGCTCGGGCTCAAGGCGCACACTGCCTGTATTGTTTCTTTTTCCCTCTCTGCTTTTTCTTCTTATGTAATATCAAGGTTTAAATTCGTTTATTCTCTTTGCACGCTCGGCATGTACATTGATTATGTTGTGGACTGAACTAAATATGTTGTTACAGTAGCGATTAATCAATAAGATAGTCTAATACATAGTAAGACATATTTATGCTGTGGTTGTAAACCTACCAATTGCACCCTGCTGGTTGTGATCCCAATTTGGATTGTGATCACAGTTTGGGTAATTAAATCTTAGGCACTGCACTCGTAAGATGGTTTCTTATATTTACCTCTTTTGATTTTTAATTGTACAAAATCATGCTTGTCATTTGTTAGTTTCAACAACTTGAAGCTGGACAAAGGGTGTTCAGCTGATCTGAAAATGCTTCAGCTTTGTGGAGACAATTTGTTCCTTCTGCTCTGCACTATCAGCTTCATTATCAGTTTGAGTCATGGAATCAAGTCAGTATGCTTAAATCTGCAGACAATTTGCATTTACCTCAATCTGCACTGAATACCTTATCTCTGCCTGTCTACTAATCATCTTGGCTTAGGTATGAAATATTTTCACTGGTCCAAATGCATGCAGGGTTGATAGCAAAATCTTGAATGTTGGGGAGGAGTTACAGAAGGAGACTCTGCCGCTACAATTGGGTTCTCGACTATATGGATTGAGGGGGCTTAAGTCACATTCTTGGTACGAAGTGAAGATATCATTTCCTGCTTCTGTATGTAAAGTTTTGTTTCTTTTCTCTGCATGTTTCTCAAAGCATTCTCAGGAATTACAAACTGATCTCCCTCTTGTTTGATGGCAGATCCCTGCTACCTTTTCCTTGCAACTCAAGAGAGATGATTTAGGTTTAGAGCTAGGCAAGAACAGAAGATTATTAAACACTGAAAAGTTGATTTTCAAGGTTGATAGTCTTGAAATGATTAGTGATCAGGTTTGATGTACTCCAGCAGTTGTTTTGTGTGCATTTTTTTCCTTTGTCATTTGAGATGATAAAGAGTTTCCGGCTTTGCTCAGGATGGATGGTCTGTTTTGGTGAGCGTGGAGCCTGAGGGAATTGTAGCAATTCCTCATCTACAAGAGAGGGAGTTCGTCACATTCAATATAGGTAAAATGGATTCCTCCCCTCCTTTAAGTTTTTTGCATTATTTGATTGGTGGCGTAATGACATGAACCTTGTCATTTTCTGCCTCCAATGCAATCGTACAAAATTTCTGTCTTTACAATTTTCTTCAACTGTTTTACCTTTCAATTCCATTAATAATTGCCCTTCTCCATCTTTATTCCCGAATGTGTTCAACTCTACATGATTTTGGGTATGATCATCAGATCCTTATCTGACATCTAGTTTTTATTGTTACATCTTATGGAAGGTAAAACTACAGGTGATATTGCTTTGTAGTTACATATAATGGAAGATAAAACTAGAGATGTCATACCCACATGGTCATACAGATAGGACCTAAGAAATTTTCTTGAGCTGATTTTGCATTTTTCGTAATACTCTTTATCTTCATTAGCCCAACTGGATGTGGGATCATCTCAATTATTCGGGAAGGTGTATTCTCATATGATGAAGAATGCTTTCCAAGAATATTCTTAGTGTAAGAGTCTTGCTAGTATATGATTATCTTTGTATCTTATTAGCTTGTGTCTTGTTGTCTATTGTATTCTTATTTAATAATTCTACTCATACTAGATTACGTAAACACCCTATAATGCACGAGTGGTTTACAGACGAGGTATGTATAAAAATGATTGGTATTCTCTCGTTGTTGTTGAATTGAATAATTGTTTTTTTCTAACTGGATATTTTCATCCTAGATGAATTCTTGGGTATTTTCTTGAATCAGCCTAACTTTTTAACTTTTTTTACTAAACTGTTAAATCGACATATAAATTTGAATTAAACCGTAAAAACAGTATAGCGGGATTTGTGGGTATGACTAACAATTTTAATTTTCATGACAGTTTGTGATGAGCTTTTATTGGGCATCCCGCACAAGGCTTGGTGGGTGGTAGCTTTGGCATTGCTGTGTCTGGCTGTGGCACTTGTTCTTCCTGGATTCCTTCCATGTTATCTGCTGCTAAAGAATCAAAACCAGCAGACTTTTAGTCAGAATGTTTGTAAGAAGTCTTGAGACCGAAAATCATTTATTTACATAAAGCTGAACTGTTTTTGTGCTCCAAGCTGTATGCATCGAATCAAATGCATTCTCTGTAATTACCTGCACATTTTGTTTAAAGGGAGGTTTGGAATAATAAACTAAGTTTCTGTAATTCATTTGGAAAAGTATACTTTTTGGTTGGACAAAATTTAGAGAGAGCGCAGAGTGTACTTGAAAATTCACACTTAGGTTAACTAAGAACATAAAAGTATGTTTGGTTGATTAAAAAAGTTGACCTCATATCAAATTCTATATGGAGTTTGAACAATGCATTTCAAATTTCCACCAAATTTGATGAAGGCTTCCCATTTCTATTATCTTTATTTGCATGAATTTTGGATTTGCTTAAATTTTGAACTCTCAAACTAGGAAATTTTACCTTCAAATAGATTTAAAAGGAAATTAGCAAATGAATGTTGGATTTGTTTCTTCTTTATCTAGTTTAATGGATGTCATGCAATTCTTTTAAGAGGTTCTTTAATATATTTTGCTGAACATCTCTAGTTTTCATTATTTAATTTTTAGGTCTAGAAAATAATTACTTATGATTTTTTTTTTTAAGAATATCCTACTAAAATTATGATAAAAATATATATATTTTTTATGAAAATAAATATATAAAATTATTAATTTTATGAATAAATTTATGTTTATTAAATCAAGAAATTAAATATATTACTAATAAGAAATTAAAATTAATTTAAAATAAAGTAATTGCTGTAGTACACACACACACACACACACACACACACACACACAATATTTAAAAAATACCACTAGAAAATAGTTTACTTAATTCATGAACAAATTCTAACTTAATCAAAAGCTAACATCATATTGATTTTTTAAAAATTAAAATTAAGTATAGATTATGCTTACTAATATTATGCACTATAATTTACGTACTTACTAACGCAATTTTTATGAATGTGTCACTACTTATATTAAATGCGTACCATTATACAAATTTGTCCAAGAACATTAAAAAAAACATGAAATCAAAAACTTGTTTAAGAATTTGAGCTTCTAAAACTATAAAAATTAAGAAGCTTCAAATTTATTCCAAAACCTTGATGGTACCCTTCAACATATATCAAAATATACTTCTAAATATTTAACTTTTGCATCGTGATATCGAATCCATTAGAACCCAATGATATATTGGTACCATTACAAATTTTTACTATCGTTTTAGGTTGTCGTACATATATGATATGTATATGTATAGCAAAATGTGATCCACGCCCATCAAATCTAAACCTTTCAAACCTAAATGCAAGACTAGAATATATTAAAACCAGAAAGTTTATTATTAACAGCAAACTAAAAGAAAACCTAAGACATCCATCATCCATTCATACATATTAATTCATTATTACAGATGAAACCTTCAACAACCATCTTCTTCTTCTTCACCATACTTATTAATAATTACTAGGAAGCTTCCTGCGCCTTCTGCTGCACATACTGCCCGTACTCTCTCGCCTTCTCTGCTATCCTCTTCCTCGCATAATCCACCTTCTCCGCTCCAGCCGGATGCTTTCCCGTCACGTATCTGTATATCCACGTTAACGTCGCTATCGCCGCCGCCCCGCACCCGCCGGAAAACAAAAGCCCAGTCCCCATCAGCACTACCGCCGCCGCCGCCGGCACCAGTATCGGACTGAACAGCACCAGAACCGGCGTCGCAAGGATCAGCCCTATCACTGTCGCCGTCAACGTTATCCCCGACAGGACAAGCAGGGTTGTCCCGATTCCTGCCGCCGTTAGGAACCTTACTGTCTCCCCCGCAGGCGACTTCTGGGTTGTCAACTTTTGTTGATCCGCCATGATGATGAGGATGACGATAAACACTGAGCAGTGGAAAGGGTGGTGGGATGGGGATTTAAGGTGGGATTTGGAGGACACGTGGCGGCACGACAGGCGTCATCTTCTCGTGATGTGTGTCTGATGATGAGAACAGGCTGTATGTGTTCGTGTTCGCCTGCATGGGTTACAACTTCACTGTTTTTGACACGTGTTAGACGTGCATGGGTAATTTGGATTGTAATTTATTTTTCTTAAGCAAAATTATAGAAATATTATTTGGACAAAAAAATGATTAACTTAAATCCATTGCTAAATTATGGGCAAAATTATTATATGTAGTCAAACATGGTATAAATAATTAATTTTAAAAATTCTTCAAGTATATTAATTAGTTTTCCTAAATTAAGCATTTGGCTTAGAAGTATAAATTAAAAAAAATGATTAATACCACATTCAAGCGGAAAAAGTCTATTAAAACTAATAGTTAATCTTAATACCATTGTAAAATAATAATAATAATAATAAATTAATGTTTTTAATTAAATAATTTAAAAAATACATAAGAATTTTATATAACTGCAATCTAAAGAAAACCCAATAAAAGTTGACTGACTGGGCCGGTTGGCCCGGACAATTATATTTAACGGCGTAAAGCGTATCTGATAAGACAAGGTCAGGAGCCGGCCCATTGGCCATCACATCACAGTTTCCACCGTTGGATTGCATGATCCTGGGACCCACTTGATGTACGTTAAAGAAATGGTCACAGTCCAGTGACGTTAGAATTACTCGTCTGAAGGACGCTCCAAAGGAAATTTTTGAAATGTGATTGAATCATGTGCCTACGTGCAAGAATTCGACCGTTGCAATCCCTTGCTTTTTCTTTTCCCCTCGCCTGCATCATCGTCGTTGTGTCCGTCTCTCTCTCAACTGTTTTCTCTCACTCCATTTTTCCATCTCTCTCTCTCTCTCTCTCTCTCTCTCTCTCCAATGGGGATCGTTGCAGACGCACAACCGCAGGAGAAGGTAAATCAAAGAAACCAAATCTGCAAAAACAAGAGTTTCATTTTAGAACGTGTTCTAGGGTTCTTGAATTTCTAATTTAGGGTTTTTGTGTTCTCATTTTCTGTAGCATATCATATAGGTTCGACTTTTAATTTCTTGCATTTCGTTCTTTGCTTCTTTTTTTATGTCAATTGAGTATTTTCTTCATTTTTTTCTCTCTTCGTCTTTTTTCCCTCCTTTTCGGGGAAAAGCTCGAATTATTGATGGTCTCTTGGTACTTGGAAGGATCTAAGTCGTCTTCGTTATTATTTCCCTTTTCCTGTTTGTTATGGGAAATAAGGGAAGAGAAAAGAAAATTTCACGTAGGTTTTTTGCTTTCTTGGATCCTACGTAGGTTTTTGTTTTTCACTCTGTAATCGATATAAATGAACTCGTCTGTATAAACGCTGGGATCACAGGTATCGAACTAATTCATTTCTAAAATCTGCAGGATCAAAAGCATGAGTTTGATTGTTAGTCTTCAATAGTAAGGGATTTAGCGGTTTAGCTGATTTAGAATTTTAGGTTCACTGGAAAATATCTCGATTTACAAATTTGGCGAATCTGCAAAAGTTTTTTTTGTTTTTTGTGTTTCGAGATTGATCCTAGGGTTTCAATCTGGATTTTCTTTGTGCAGGCTTCTTCAGAGATTTCGACGATGGAGAAAAAGAGATGGACGCTCAATGACTTCGACATTGGAAAGCCTCTAGGACGAGGAAAGTTTGGTCATGTTTATCTGGCAAGAGAAAAGAGGGTCAGTTTACTAGCTCCTTTCAAACGTTCAACATTCCACATCCTTTAGTTTCTAAAGCTGACTTGGTTCTAAGATGATTACATTGATTAATGCAACGATTTACTGCATTGTTCTTCTTTTCTTTAATATGTACACCACTGCTTGTCTTGTTGAGATGAAATATCTGTTGTATTAATATGATCACAAAGAACATCTTTTGTGACATGAAGTGCCAATCTGATCTGTGCATATTTCTGAAACAGAGCAATCATATAGTGGCTTTGAAGGTGCTCTTTAAGAGCCAACTTCAACAATCTCAAGTTGAACATCAGCTTCGTAGAGAAGTTGAAATACAAAGCCATCTTAGGCATCCCAACATTCTGCGTCTCTATGGTTATTTCTACGATCAGGTATATCTGTGCCTGCGTCATTGTGCACTTGTTGGTATCCCAGTGTCAACATGGTCAAGATAACAAGTGCATATGCAAAATTGATTAACATTTATCTTGTATGCAATATGTTGCAGAAACGGGTTTATTTGGTATTAGAATATGCAGCAAAAGGTGAGCTGTACAAGGAACTACAGAAGTGTAAATACTTTAGTGAAAGGCGTGCTGCCACTGTAAGTCCTTTTTGCAGCGTAGCTCCTTTTCTTTACGATAAATGCTTATCATTCACACCTTATGTGTTGTCTGTTGAAGTCGTTATTATGTCTAATTTATTCAGATAGAAACCAATAAATGTTTTATATGTGGCAGTATGTTGCATCACTAGCTCGAGCTCTCATTTATTGTCATGGAAAGCATGTAATACACAGAGACATTAAGCCAGAGAACCTCCTGATCGGTGTTGAGGTGATAACCAACACCAGTAGTTTATGTTTTTTATGTCTTTCATTTATCATGTCTTTATTAAACACCAATTTGGAATTTTATCGCCAGGGTGAGCTGAAGATTGCAGATTTCGGATGGTCGGTTCACACATTTAATCGCAGAAGGACCATGTGTGGCACTCTGGATTACCTCCCTCCTGAGATGGGTAGGTGAATAGAATAAATTTAGAAAATAGACTTGCTTAATATATTTGACTTAAATAGCTTGTTATTTGATGGTTTATTTTTATGGAACAATTTAAATTTTTGGTCGAAATTAGAATTATCATGTGGTTCTGCCAAGTAAAGTATCAACTGATTTCTTGTATTTCCCATGATTTGACTTAAATAGCTTGTTATTTGATGGTTTATTTTTATGGAACAATTTAAATTTTTGGTCCAAATTAAAATTATCTTGTGGTTCTGCCAAATATTTGATTTAAGATAACTTGTTATTTGATGGTTTATTTTTATGGAACAATTTAAATTTTTGGTCGAAATTAGAATTATCATGTGGTTCTGCCAAGTAAAGTATCAACTGATTTCTTGTATTTCCCATGATTTGACAGTGGAAAGTGTAGAGCATGATGCAAGTGTGGATATCTGGAGCCTAGGTGTTTTGTGCTATGAATTTCTTTATGGGGTCCCTCCTTTTGAGGCCAGGGAACACTCAGACACCTACAGAAGGTAAACATAAATGAGAAAACATATTAAAGTAATGCCATTGAACATGAGAATCTTATATTCTTTTAGTGTATGAGATAATGGCATTTCATAATCCTAGTGACCTTGCTAAAATTTTGTACAATATTAGAGTTGTCATTTCTTAGGCTTCCTTTCCGCATGATTTAGAAAATAAGTTTCCCAATGTGCTTCGAGTTATAACAATTGAATTGTAACAGAAGCTTATGTTTCTTATCATTAACAAAAGTTTATCTTGTACTCTTTCAGTGTATAAGACAATGGCATTTCATAGTTCTAGTGACCTTTCTAACATTTTGTACAATATTAGAGTTGTCATTTCTTAGGTTTTCTTCCCGCGTGATTTGGAAAATGAGTTTCCCAATGTGCTTCGAGTTATAACAATTGAGTTGTAACAAAAGTTTATCTTGTACTCTTTCAGTATATAAGACAATGGTATTTCATAATCCTACTGACCTTTCTAACATTTTGTACAATATTAAAGTTCTTAGGCTTCCTTCCTGCATGATTTAGAAAATGAGTTTCTCAATGTACTTCGAGTTATAACAATTGAGTTGTAACAAAAGTTTATGTTTCTTATCATTAATAAAAGTTTATCTTGTACTCTTTCAGTGTATAAGACAATAGTATTTCATAATCCTAATGACCTTTCTAACATTTTGTACAATATTAAAGTTGTCATTTCTTAGGCTTCATTCCCGCGTGATTTGGAAAATGAATTTCCCAATATGCTTCGAGTTATAACAATTGAGTTGTAATAAAAGTTTATGTTTCTTATCATTAACTTTTTGTGTCTATTATGATGTCTACAGGATAGTGCAAGTCGATCTGAAGTTCCCTCCGAAACCAATTGTCTCTTCACCTGCAAAGGATCTTATTAGTCAGGTCTGAATCCTCTTCTTCCTTGATTTCTTGTAAGTTGGTTAAAATCATTAATTTGGAGTTGCAGAAAATGACTGATAGTTTTCTCTATGATCTAACTATTAGATGCTTGTCAAGGATTCTTCACAACGCCTGCCTCTACATAAGCTTCTTGAGCATCCATGGATTGTTCAAAATGCAGATCCATCTGGCGTCTATAGGAGTTAATCATTGCTTGGGGTTGTTGATGAAGCTGTTATCCAGAGTCAACAACTCTGCATTTTTTTTTTACTCAAATGGCTATATGCAATCCAACATTGTTATAAGCCAATATCTACTTTAGTTGATATATAAACCCATGGATCTAACGGTGGAAATTTAATGCATATGCATATGTGATGTATCATATCAAAAGCCCTGTAGTAATGAAGGAAACCATTTATTTTGGTGAATTGTATCATTAATATGTAAAAATTATGTTCTCTAATAGTAGGAATGTTCCTTTATTTTTCTTAGCCTCCCAAAAAAGCCAGATAAAAATTGACTTACAAATAAAATAGCAAAACAAAATTTGGCTCTTTAATAGCAGTAACTAAATCTTTTTACCTTTAATTTTCTTTTTAATAAGTTATTCAATTAATTATAAATCAACAGATAAAAAAATCGTATTTAACGATATAATTACTATTTAAAATAATATACTTATTTTAAAAATCTATACAATTTTAAAAGACTCCTAACACATTGAAGCTGTGATTGGTCTCTTCATAAATATAATTTACAAAGGTTTAGAAAGGGAGCAACCTCAAAAACTTCATAGAAAGTCTCAGATAAAAAAGAACTTTGGTAGATACAAAGTTGGTACAATTTACCCAAAGTCTATAAATCTGCTCAGGGAAATTTACCCAAACAAAACACCCATACAAGTAAGTTCAAAACAATTGGTATCATCTTTCTCCTATTCTTTTGTCATACACTAAAAGAATGTCAAAACTCTTATTTTTGGTCTCTACTGTTATCCCTATCTAACAACTGTGTTGGGGGCTATTCTTTTTTCTTAGCTTCAATAACATCTCTGGGGCTCAAGAAGCTCAGCTGGTTTGTTGAAGAAAGTAGTCTTGCCCACATCCTATCTGTAATAACTATCTTGTTCTGCGTCTCAAGAATTCGTTGTACATTAAAACTCTATACTATTAGAACAAACATTGTTTTGTATAAAAACATGAACAGTTAAAAGAGTCGTGCTTTACTCAAAGTTTAGAAGCTGCATTCGGGTACTTCGCAACAAAAACACTAATAAAGAAAAGAATAGAAAACTTATAATAGAAGTTTGATTAACTCAAGGTAAACAGGGTAATGGACAAGACGAGCTCTGCTTTCTGACTAGTTAATTAAATTTTTCTTTAGTAGGGTAAGTTAAAACACGTCCAAACATTTAAGAAGCAAACAGTCATTCTAACTGCTCCAATCTTGCATGAGATATTTTTTCAAAAATGACTGAATTTCAGTTCCTAGAATGTCTTCAATGATTTAGAGAGAGTTAAAGATTGTTTAGTTAATTTTGACATTTCAAACACAAAAACAGGAAGCTGCTGATAATATCCCATTTAACAATAACAATATTGGCCATTTAGAACTAAGTATCAAAGAGTTTGTCTCTATTGTCAATAATAATATTGGATTGGTAATAGTACTTTGCTAATCATTTTCCTTGCCTGTATAATATTTAATCAAATCACAACCCCTTCATTTCTTATTTTGTACGTCCTACAGATAGAACTATTACGTGGAACTTGATCCCTTCAGAATCCTGTCCAATCGGGAGAACAATGATACACTAACCGAACAACCTAATAGCATAGTTTAGACTTTAGATCCTTTATAAATTATAAACATCCAAATCTTTCTTCGAACACATAAACCCGTTAACCCCAACTACTGCCACCTTCCTTGAGCAATCTATTCTGCAAAGTTAATGAGCTGCAGCTAATTCGTAACCCTACTTGAACTCTTTCACCAGATGTTTATGTTACGTATTGAAGGAAAGATGAGAGACAAAATGATTTATTTCTAGGATATGCTGTGGCTTGGAAATTGTGAACAAGACTAATTTGGTATGTTTGGATTGGTTTGGGTTATTCCTTTAGAATGTTTTATAAGTTCGAGTTTTTAACGTATTAGGTTTAAGTGTTCTAAACTTGAGTACAATTTTAAAACAAGTATATCATTTCACATAATAATTATAAGACGATCTTTTTTTAATTGTTGAATAAATTAATTGAATAACTTATTAAAAAAAATTAAAGGTTTTATATTTAGTTACTGTAATAAGA